GTAGGCCTGGGTCCACGCCGTTTCATATTTGAATTTCAAGGACCTGCGGCCCCCACGCCGTTTCAAAATATTTTAGACCACGGCCACCTACCGGTTCCCAGGAAAATGCCACGGGCAAATACCGGCCCTGCGTTTGCTTGAACTGCGCCCCCCCCCTAAATGCCAGTGCCTTTCATTTTACCAGCCTTTGAACGACCAATGGGCCCGATTGAACGACCGGTATAACGAACAACGACGAAAATGTCTCAGGGGGGGAAAACGCAACCCGGCGGGTTGCGAACATTTCAACGTCACTCAAATTTCAACGTCAGTGGTCGTTCGGGAGGGTGGGCATTTTGAGGTTTGGGGCCTAGCAAGGGGCGGGACCACGTAGGACCGCTATTGTCGCGGTCATTGGGCGGCAGGCAGACGACATTGGTCGGAACGGCACCCTTGGATCTTCGAAACGGCGCGCAGGCAGAAATTGGTCGAAACGTTTGGTGCAGGTCGTCGAAAATTGATAAAACGGCACTTGCGCTTTGCTGCCCTCTCGCAAACGGAATCCTTGCCTCGTTCGTGCAAACGGCACCCTTGGACCTTGTAAACAGTTGTCGTAGACGCTATTGGTTGGTGCATTGTGATGCCCAACCTCACGTCTAGCGCGACTTTCTGTTCGGAGTGGGATGGGGGCCTGAAAGTGGAAAAGAGGTATGCCAAGGATTTTTGGAAATTGAAGTGGAGTCCCAGGTCAGAACTGAGATCTCCGGTGGCAAGCTTAGGGGTAGTTGAGCAAGTTGGTAATCCCGAGTTATATTGGACTTCGGGAGACCGGGCTACCTCCGGTGGGAGTCACGGTGTCGTCGTCTCGGTCGGTCCCGTATCTGATGGACCCTCGGGACGCTATGTGTGTCACGTTGGGCGATCAACCGCTGGTGCCGCTCGTGGCAGACTTCGGAATCCGACGAGGCTGGTCTCAGTCAGAGGCTGTGAGATCGCTGGTCTGCCTCAGTCYGGGTCGGTGAACAAMTCCCGCCATGCAGTAATCGCGGTCTTGCTGACACTCTGAGCACAGGGTCCGTGGCCAGTGAGGGCCGATCGCRCCCCAAGGGACCACCGTAAGGCAGTGAAAGGGGATTACGAGGCGGTAGGGAGGGTAATTAGTATCGACGATGGCTATTCGAGGTTCAGCGATGACGTGGCGTGTATAAGGGGAAAGTGGGGCAAAAAGGGAATCGCGTTTAAGACCCGTTCGATGTCCCACTCGCATACTCGCTCCGTTCCAGTGTGGTAAGGGAATTCCAAAAACGGGGCCCGTGGTCACGCAGCCTGATAGGCACGCTCTCGTTCCCTATGTTCCCGGAATCGTTGATGCCTCAGACTCTCGCAACCCGTGACGTAAAAAGGGGTCTCAATGTCCATACCGATGGAGAAGGGTCGATCCCATCATAGGCTTCCGCGAGCGGGTCTCGTGTATCCGCGTGTAAGCCGCATCCTGGCGGTTGCACTTACGAGGGGGCACTCGAGATCACGCCTGCGGTCGACGAAATTGTTTCTGGTGTACTAGGTGGTCCTTCAAAAGTCCAACATGCGATCATCTTATCCAACTTGAAGTAAAAACGCGTGTCATGCACAGCAGAAGGCAATCGCTCATCAACCCAGACATCCTTGCTTTCAACAGAGTCATACCCCATTCATTCATATCAACAAGAAACTAAATGGCAATCTCACAACTTTTCCCCGGCGCACAGCGCAACCATTCAGTGACACGTTCATCGGATCGTCATACATACATGCATTCATTCATGCAAAGATGAGGCGCAAATTGGCACATACATCCCACAACTCAAGACGTTTTAATTCCCAACCATCGACATGCATCAAAGAGGAGGAGGGAGAGTGGATTAGCACAAAAAGGAAATAAATCGGAGATGAAAACGATGGCGTTTCGCCCGAGACCAAAATTTTTGTACAAAGGACAGAAAAAGGAAGGTCGCAATTCACACCCGTCTGTTCCCCACACTCTTTCTCTCTCTCTTTCTCAGATGCGAACAGTCCGTCGTCTCGCATCACTCATAGTGAGGGAGGATGCACAACCAGGGGAACTCCGCAAACCCAGATCCCACTAGGCCCCGAAGGCTGACAATCCATTCATATGCAGACCTACATCCCCCGACCCTCCGTTACTTCAAAAAACCYTTTCACCTCATTCCTTTTACCCCCTTTTTTTGTTATTCCTTATTCCATTCTCCCAAATAACCCCACAACCCCACGCCTTCTCTCTTATTCGGGACCAAACCAGCCCTCAAAGGGAATTTTGAAAAAACGTTTTTCATTCCTCTCCAACCAGGGGCAAATATTGGGACCTTAGTAGATAATCCTAGACCATATTCCTCGAGTATGTATGTGTGTGTGTGTGTGTGTGTGTGTGTGTGTGTGTGTGTGTGACCCTCCCCTCCCCCGCTAGGGGTAGCATGCTAGGGCAGGTAGCAGGTACCTGCCCTAGGCAAGGTACCCGCTAGCCACCCCAGCAGCCTTACCGGTAGAGGCCATCATGACACACAGACAGACAGAACATCATAGCTGAAAAGGTGAAAATATGGAGTATGATTATCTTACCCGAAATTGATGCCCCGCAGCCGCCACATCCACTCTGGGGGGAAGGAAATCCTGAGGGGAGTTAAGGACCCGATTCACACAGTTGATGCAACCACGCAGGGGGAACCCATTCTGAACCATATAGGTAACTACCCTAAGGATCTCATCAGCATCATCATAGGGTCTGGTGCAAAGGACAAGGATGGAAGAAACCTGGGCAAGAATGATATTCAGCGATTGCTGGATATGCCTATTCGAAGCGTATTTCACATACCTCACCACCGGGAAATCCAACAACAAGCGTTTGTCAAACTTCGTGGTGTAAAACGTACCGGCGGAATCAGAAGTCACCACGATTGACACGTTCAGAAACTGAGCCCTCAGACCATAAATTTCTCCAGAGGGGGATAGTTCAAAGATCTCGGTCTGATTCTTGATCTGGATGAGGTAGAGTGGGTACAAGGCAAAAAAGCCATCGTCATCCTCAGGAGGGTCCTTTAAAAATTTCATGATGAAAGGGTTATTAATGGCATGGAGGTCATCAATGTACCTGAACATGTGTTTGAACAATGGAAGAAGATGTGCAACTCTCCTGTCAATAAGTCTCATAATCAGGCCATACTCATATTTGAAGAAATACACAGTGCACCAAATGGGGGAGCATGGCAGGCCCATGGGGATTCCCAAAGCATGCCTCCAAAATCGCCTACCAAAGGTAGTAAAGCAGTGGGCAACCAACCAGTTAGTAAGTGCAACAACATCCTCATGATCCAACCAGAACACCGTGGAGGAAGGAGTGTCCCCCCTTGTTTTGGCCACGGAGCAGGCGAAGGAACCATCCCGGCGCGATCTACACTTCACAAACTTCCCAATGCATTTGGAAGATGCGGTTTGAAAGCCATCTCCACAAAGAAGGTCACAGCAGTCGTCAGGCTATCAAGGGAGGCATTGATAGGAATCGTCTCAAAACATCTGGTGATGTCCGCGGAAAACACAGAGAAGACCTTGTCCGGGAGGTTAAAGCAGTAATCCTGGACCGACTCGATAGCCCACCAAATAGATGTATCAATTCCATGAAGACTCCGCAAGCCATCGATGATCTCCTTGCATCGGGCCATAACGAGAGGGGTGAGGCATTTCGAGACCGCATCACACAGACAAGCCACAGGGGTGAGGAAGGAAAAAGAAGCATTTGTCAGCCAACGAAACGCAAGCTTATGGTGTTTGTATAAGGCCATGAGGTAAGGAAGTTTCCTTGGCCCCATGGGAACAACATGAATGATCCTGTTGAGGGAGGCTGCAGCCTCATCCAGTATTCCCCCAGCAGTGAGGGAGACTGGCACAAAATCCACGCTATTGAGCCTATCCAAAGCCAATTTCCTCACAAGATGAATACACACAAACGACAGAGTGTTAGCTGACTTGTCCGTTCCGGCAATGAACAGACGCTTGGACAAAAAGTCAATCTCATGCTTGACCGCATGAGACTCAATGATGCACGGGAGATCCTGATGCTTCCTAAGATGCGAAAAGTCGAGCTGAGCCCTGAGTTCCTCTTAAACAAACACGGACGCCCTTGACTGCATGATTGCACTGGTAATAAGCATTCGATTAGAGAGGATGGAGACCACGGCACGCCAGGCCTTGAAGAACTCATGAAATGTTGCATGGGGGTTGGCAGGGCAGGGAGGAATGTGATTAAGGCCATGCGATATGAGCTCCGTCAATTTAGGAAGCGCAAAAATGCCTGGGTCAAGGGAGAGGACATGAGTGGAGGGAGAGGGGAAGGGCTGCGTCATGCTGCTGGTGCAGGGGTGGTGGAAGGGCAAAAAACGCTTTGTGAAGCATGGGCAGGAAGGCAGTTTTTCACAAGACTGACACCATTCTTCAAGCGCAAAATCCCGAAACACAGAGGCAGGCTTGTAGAGAATTGCTTCAAGAGAGCTCAAATAAGTCCAACCAATGACGATTCGAGACAACAAGGCCCTGGCATCAGGGGGAAAAAATTGATCAATGGCCATCTCAAGGATAAATCTGAAACGGACTGACTCCATGATTCTGCTTGCATAAACAACATGCACAAAGAACTCCTTCCCTTCCGTTAGGATTTTCTGCCACCTGCACCGGCCAGAAGGGTCATGAGATATGAAACCCCTAGGCTCTTCTTTAACCTGCAAAACGAAACGAGAGAGATCACCCATGGCAGTCAGTTTTTAAACAGCGAAGCCCTGGCCAGGCCCAGGCCCCTCGGACTCCTTCGCAATGGTCTGCTGCAGGCGGATGCTTGGCCATCCTCCTGGATAGTGATGGTGGAAGATGGGGGAGTGCTGGTAGCCGACGGAGCGGGTTGACTTTGGGCGGACGCAGGGGTCCCCGTCCGAGCAGGAGGGGTAGAACTCCAATATGGACTGCTGCGCCGTTTTCACCTTCTTGGCCGATGCTGCAGGGACGACTTCCAACCTCGTTTTCTCTGCTGTGCGGACGTAACGAGCAGGAAGGATGAACTTAGCCATGGTCCGAGGGAACTTGTGGAGCATGATGGCCGGATCATCAATAATGTTCTGGGCAGTCCTAGATGGATCGATTGCAACACTGAAAGCCATCTTCACCATCACCTCCCTCATGTGTGCGAACACCACCAAGGACAGAACAACTGCCCGCCACGTAGATCTCGCTCTGACCCTGAAAGCACGAGCACGAGCTCTGAGGGTCGGGGCCTCCGGGAACAGGTAATGAAGGTCGGAGAGAAGGTACCAAAAGACATCATCACAACATGAGATATTCTTACCACTGTCCCCCTTTCCCTCCGCCACACATTGGCACTTCAGATAAGGGCGACCAACATTCCATATGCGCTTCAACTCCGCAATAGCAGTCTGTACCTTAGGGCCCAGAAAACCCCTCACAGCAAGTGCCGACGCAGATACACTACACTTAGTCCGGTCAAAATCCCCAATGACGGGGAGCTTCATCGCATCAGGGGTAAGCGGGTAATTCCCTCTGATAAAGGTAGTGTTCTCTGTGAGGGCTTTCTCCTTGCACTTCACCATTTCCTCCCCCGTGAGAGACGCTAGGAACCTGTACCAATCAGCATGAATAGGAGCTAGATAGTTGAACGTGTATAGATCCTAAAGCCTGTCATCAACGGACCTAGACTGGGACTCCACCCATCTCGACGGGACAGTGGGGAGGAAGGCATTACGTACATACTTGTTGGCACAGGTCTTCTGGTTGGCTGCGATCGCCTTCACTTTATCCAATCTTCCTTCCTCCAGTAACTTAGAATGATACGCTTTCTCCTCCTCCGTCAAGGCAAGCGAATCATCCTCCTCCTCCTCCTCCTCACCGGACCCCTCATCATCACCAACCATCCCTGGGTCCTTCTGGACCAAACCCGCATGAAAATTGGACTCCGCACCAAACAAGTCAATAAACACCTTTTCCTTCATGGCCACGTCACCATCAATACAAATTGAGACCAGCTCATCCTCGCCAGCAATATCCTTCGCCTTGGTGACCAAGTACTTGGTGAGGCCAAGGAACCCAGCTTTATCATTCGCTGCTGTCCACAACAGGTCTGACCACTGATCAAATGAAAGGACTGCAATCAACGGGGGAGAGACATCCACAGAATACAATCTGACAAACTCTAGGATTCTAGGGGAAGCAAGAGAAATAAGAGCCTGGGTGGGATGGGCCAGAGCCGGAAACAAATCGAGCCACTTCGAATCTCCAACCAGCAAATCAATGTACCACCCATTGTCCAAAAAGGAGGGTACCTGTCACAAGGACAGACACACACATGGTGAGGGAAATGCATACCATGATCATAGAACAACATATGGACGAGGGGCAAGGACACGTTCGGGGGATGCATCAAACCATCATGTAGCAATCCCACACGATGTAAATGCAAGCGCAGAAAGGTGTTGGTGGAACGCAAGAGAGACAACACCACAGCAACTGGGATTCAGACCCTGTTGCAAGCAGGAACGGAAAAATCCCTGTGCATGTGTAATGTTTCTATTGCGAGGCTCATGTGACAATGTCACAACATGATGCATCTCAAAATGCATTATTATGAACAACACCCAAATAGCTTTTGCACAACAACCATGGGGTCACAACGAAATGATGATGGTGGAAAAACGACACAGGAACGATCAAAGGCAAAGTATGTCCCATAGCCATAATGCGGAATGTTCAAGACATGGGTATACAATCAAACACCAAGGCATGGAAGCAAGTACATTCCAATCAGGATGATCAACCGATTCCCACCATGGTCATTATGACAAGAGCCAATCCTCAAGAAGGGACAATCATTCCCTTTTCCACAAGACACAAAGAGATATCACGATACCATTAAACTCTACAAATAGGGCAAACAACGAAACCTTCGAAAAAAGGATCGGACGCGGAAAGCTCAAGCCAAGCCTCAACATCCACCAATACCATAGTACGTCGAATACGGGCATCGATCCGAACAGTGAGAGCACACAGTCAGCACCGTCGCCTCCTACCCTGCATCAAAACTAAATGGAGTACGCTGCCCTCATGGCTATGATATACTCAGACAAGACTGGCCACCTGAACAAGGTCAAGACAACGTCACAATTCTGATGCATACAGGACCAGATACAAAACACCGCAGAACCCATCACACCGCTATTCAATCCATTCATGGCATATGGGGTAGATAATCAACCGCCATAAGGAAGAAATCCCCAGGCATCAACATCAATTAGAAAAATCAGATTGATCAACACCATCAGTGAACCTCTCATCATAACGCCTAGTACCGTCCCGAAGACCAAAGTAAGCTCGGAAAGCTCCCACCGAAAGACACGCTGTCGCTAGCGCATGATTCACACCAAGAACTGGGTCCTCCATAAAGCAATTCGAAAGCGTCGTTCACCAGCAAGTACCACACGATACTCCCAACCATCCGACATCAAAGCAAAATGCCCCCCCCGCCACACACCACCGAAAACGCGCCCACGACCAACCATCATTCCATGATGAGACCTCGTATCAAGCCCAATCTCTCACTATGCTGATCGTAGATTCCCACCGAAGCACATTCAGAGCATCACGCCGCCCTACCGAAACCATGGAACACACAACGGTAACCGAGTCGTCACCCTCCAAACCCAAAGCACAACTTTGATCCCTCATCGAGGCAGCCACGATTGCCAGAGATGAAGTAGCTAACCCGCCTCCAAGCTTCTCCAAACGGACCCTCCAACGTGCCCCGAGAAGCAGTGAAACCCCACGACTTCCAAGCGAACCACAGTCCATCACTCACGACGGAGTCCGAAATTCAAGAAGGCAATTCCAAAGCGTCGTTCCCCAGCACGTGCCGCACGACACTCCCAACCATCCCGGCATCAACGTAAAACGCCCTCCCCATCTCACACCACCAAAGACGCACCCACGACCAACCATCACTTCATGACGAGACCTCGTATCAAGCCCAACCTCCCACTATGCTGATCGTAGATTCTCACCAAAGAAAATTCAGTGTATCACGCTACCCTGCCGAACACACAACGGTAACCGAGTCCTCACCCTTCAAACCTAGTGCACAACTTTGATCATCCATCGAGGCAGCTACGATTCTCAGGGATGAAGTAGCTAACCCGCCTCCACGTTTCTCCTAACGGACCCTCCATCGTACCCCGAGAAGCACCGAAACCCTACGACTTCCAGGCGAACCACAGTCCATCCCTCACGACGGAATTCGAAAATCACGAAGGCAGATCCACAAACCTACAAGCACCACTCCATGCGCAAAATGAATACACAAAGGCGAATCACAACCCCGACAATACCGAAGTAATCATATTTCCTCTCATGCGCAATAATGCCCGAACGGTCARAACACTAACATTAATACGGACGGCAAAGCCTCACGCCAACTCAAATTGCAGCAATCCACAGCTCTAATCCGGCCTCAGGGAGGAATCCATGGGGGACCATGGCAATCATGCGGGAATATACAGACTGTAGGAGACGAGGCGTGCCAAAGGAGTACCAGCAACACCAATACCAAAATCCCAACGCCATGAAGAGCCATCCAAGTTGCTAACCCGAATAAGCACAGTATACACGGGATGGGAGGACTCGCTGGACAGGCAAACAAGGAGGGAGAGCAAGCCAACCACGAGGCACGACAAAGCGCACTGAGAGAGAAGAGGGACAGGATAATGGCGAAAAGGAGGGAAACCTAGAACGGGGTGGAGAGTAGACCAGGGGGGATGACGGGGATTGCCATGATGTCCATTCGGACGAGAGATGATCAACCCCCACGGTATCGTCACTACGCCTTGAAACAACCGCTAGGCTTTACACCATCTCGTGAAACACGGGGAGGAGGAGTTACGACAACCATCGCCTAGCTGGGCCGAACGAATGACCTGTAGATCTAGAAATGACAAGAAGGCCGAGTACGCCATGAACGCAATCAAGAAGATGAGGGCGACGTGGGCAGCAGCTAACAGCTCCATTCTCCAGATACTTCTCAGCGATCAAAAGCTCCTAAAACTTCAACGGTGATGCGTACAATAAGGCCTACGAAGGAAGCCAAAACAACAACGCAAGGAACAAACCACAACCAATCACAGAAATACGATACAAAAACCACATGGCGGGGAGGGGCAGGCAACGTTAGCGGGAGACCACAAAAAGCGGGGGGAGGGGAAAAAAAAGGGGGGGATAGCAATAGAACTAGAAATCCCAGTCAGTCGAATGGCCCCATTGTGCCAACGCATGATAGGAGGGTGGTGGAACTCGTCCTAAAGTACTTCTCACCGACATCCACCTCACCGGATCCTCAGAGAACTAAGCCTCCTTCATAGCGTACTGAAAGGGACAGGAATCTCCATGGGCATGGCCCGGATTCCTCAGAGAGGGCTTTAGAGAGAGGTGGGRAAAGACATTGGCTAAGTCACACAGAGGGGGGCAGGGGGTGGGAGGTGGGACAATGGAGCACAATGAACGTTACCGCGCTAGGCACCATGATCCGCTGAGGTGAAGGGGAGCCAGGCAAACCTCCAGTAAGTAATGACAACGACTAATCTCCACGTCACGAATGCGAGGAGGACGGGGAGTAAGCTGACCAAGTGCCACCTCTACACAAGAAGATTGCGCACCACCCAGSCCACATACGCRATGAAGCRTGCGCTACTCTCCAATAATCCGAACACTCCTCGTCCGTCCCAAGGTGATGGCCCGTMCGCGATACACGTACGCACCCTACACAGGTGACCCAACCATTTCCCCCTCACGCACATCCATCCACGGCACCCCTTCGAGAAAMAACTYTGCGCCCCCACCGTCGCGCAACCATTCCACGCAAACATCGCACGGACCACGAGCAATCATACGACAAGGGAGAGCACCACTCCCCGGTACAKCACCACGTCAGCCGCACAGTGATGACCRATAATGGGCGAAAGCAGGCAGCGATGGCAAACCCTCATGCTTCACYATCTCACCACCTCCGCARCGCGAGCCCCAAGGAGCAATYCGAGACAGCCACCAACGAGCTGCAACTCCGGAAGACGATCGCACCAAGAACCAGGTCGCCCATACGATAGAACCCGCACCACCTTCCGAAAGACAGAAACACAACCCGCTCGCCGGGAGGCAAGCGCACGAATCGATGGCGGACTCACAGCGCCTTAGCCAGGACTCCCATCCGTACCGCGAGACCGAGGAGCAATCCGAATACTCAATAGGCAGGATCACGAGCCAGCCCGGAAGCACACAGTACATGCGCAAACAGAATGGGCACACGATCCCCCTCTGAAGGCAGGACGAAGACCACCACAAAGAGGAGGAGCGCAGACATCGGAGACCCTTATATCAAACAGCGGACGCCGCAAACACCGCTGGACCACGACTCCAAATAGTAGGGATCCTACAAAACCCTCCTAGGGTGCAGGGCAGGGGTCCCTCCTCATAGTGAGGGAGGATGCACAACCAGGGGAACTCTGCAAACCCAGATCCCACTAGGCCCCGAAAGTTGACAATCCATTCATATGCAGGCCTACATCCCCTGACCCTCCGTTACTTCAAAAAACCTTTTCACCTCATTCCTTTTACCCCCTTTTTTTTGTTATTCCTTATTCCATTCTCCCAAATAACCCCACAACCCCACGCCTTCTCGCTTATTCGGGACCAAACCAGCCCTCAAAGGGAATTTTGAAAAAACGTTTTTCATTCCTCTCCGACCAGGGACAAATATTGGGACCTTAGTAGATAATCCTAGACCATATTCCTCCAGTATGTATGTGTGTGTGTGTGTGTGTGTGTGTGTGTGTGTGTGTGTGTGTGTGTGTGATTGGGTGGCGGTTGGGGGGGCGACCCATCCCCCACCAATCAATCAATCAATCAATCAATCAATCAATCAATCAATCAAAAAAAATAAACAAAAAAAACAAAAACAAAAAAGGCCGCCTTCAGACCCCACGCAAGTAAGAGTGTGTGTGTGTGTGTGTGTGTGTGTGTCGGATTCGGTGGGGGTGGGGGGGGCGACCCATCCCCCACCAATCAATCAATCAATCAATCAATCAATCAAACAATCAATCAATCAAAAGAAAAAAGAAAAACAAATCTATCTGTTTTGAGTCTGGTTTTGTTTTTGTTTTTTTTTTGAATAATTTTAATGCTAAAAAAATAAAAATAAAAATATGGGGATGTAGAGAGCAAAACAATCTATACCCCCATTTTTTTTTATTTTCTTTTCACTTATGTTTTACCTGCAAAAACAAAATCCGCGGGCCGAGTTGTACCACGTTCAACTCGGTTTAACGCGGAGTTGAATAGGAGTTGAACCGTTCAACTCAAAAACCCCGTTGAATTTCGGACACATAGCCCGTGGTTCTTGATGCAATCGAGACCAACTGACACTTTGAGATTGACTCCTCCTGACCTTGCTGTTACAGAACAGATCAGGGGAATAGGTTACCCCGTGAGTATCTCAGGTTTTCCTCTTCAGGCAAGAATGTTATCTCCATAACCCCCTTCATCTGCTGGATCATTACCAGAAGTGAAGTATGGGCGCGGAGGTTCGCTCTCCCCGGGGGGGTAAGTATGTAATGAAACCTGCAGATTCTCAGTGGACTGTACAGTAGGCCGAGGGTGAAGCGTGGGCCTCGCCTCGTTCGGGTCCTAGTTTAGGTCAGATTTGTAATTTTGTTTGGCTGAGGGCTAACCGAGAGACCTACCTGTAAGGGATATTCATGAGGGACATATCTGCAAATTTGGGAAAAATACAGGCCCAGCAATAATTCGATATTCCTACAACTGACCCTAACTGCGTATAGCAGACCCGGGCTACCCCTCGGACGGACAGGCCCTGAGGGCCTATACCGATAAACGGTCCTATAGCCTATAGCCGGGTAGGGAGAGGCCGAGAGACCGAAACTGCAACGGTACCGTTCGGTCCAGTCAGTCTGGTCTAGGTCTAGGATAACAGAAGTAGAGGTCTATTAATAGTCGAGGGAAAATGGATTGGGGACTTTTGGCAGTTGTCTGCAGGCGGCATCCTGAGACCGCACCGTTGACAGCAGCCATAGCCGGCCCAGTCTGAGTCTGCCGTAGCTGGGGCATCCTCAGCGCATCTACCCTTGGGGTATCTGCGTCTGGCCGGGCTACATCGAGGCTCTACACTGTGTACTCGTGGGTGGTGGTAGCCATAGCTGCCTGTTCCTTCGTCAGAGTTGTCCATCGGCACTGAAGACTTCATCGCAGGACCTGTTCTTCACCAGGGTGGTTGGCGCTGGCCTCTAGGAGGCTGTTCTGATGTGGCGCTACTAACTGGGTGTAGGATAGAGAGTGGGGTGTGAGTTCTGAGAGTNAAACGGCACTTGCGCTTTGCTGCCCTCTCGCAAACGGAATCCTTGCCTCGTTCGTGCAAACGGCACCCTTGGACCTTGTAAACAGTTGTCGTAGACGCTATTGGTTGGTGCATTGTGATGCCCAACCTCACGTCTAGCGCGACTTTCTGTTCGGAGTGGGATGGGGGCCCGGAAGTGCGAAAAGAGGTATGCCAAGGATTTTTGGAAATTGAAGTGGAGTCCCAGGTCAGAACTGAGATCTCCGGTGGCAAGCTTAGGGGTAGTTGAGCAAGTTGGTAATCCCGAGTTATATTGGACTTCGGGAGACCGGGCTACCTCCGGTGGGAGTCACGGTGTCGTCGTCTCGGTCGGTCCCGTATCTGATGGACCCTCGGGACGCTATGTGTGTCACGTTGGGCGATCAACCGCTGGTGCCGCTCGTGGCAGACTTCGGAATCCGACGAGGCTGGTCTCAGTCAGAGGCTGTGAGATCGCTGGTCTGCCTCAGTCYGGGTCGGTGAACAAMTCCCGCCATGCAGTAATCGCGGTCTTGCTGACACTCTGAGCACAGGGTCCGTGGCCAGTGAGGGCCGATCGCRCCCCAAGGGACCACCGTAAGGCAGTGAAAGGGGATTACGAGGCGGTAGGGAGGGTAATTAGTATCGACGATGGCTATTCGAGGTTCAGCGATGACGTGGCGTGTATRMGGGGAAAGTGGGGCAAAAAGGGAATCRCGWTTAAGRCCCGTTCGATGTCCCACTCGCATACTCGCTCCGTTCCAGTGTGGTAAGGGAATTCCARAAACGGGGCCCGKGGTCRCGCAGCCTGATAGGCACGCTCYCGTTCCCWATGTTCCCGGAATCGTTGATGCCTCAGACTCTCGCAACCCGTGACGTAAAAAGGGGTCTCAATGTCCATACCGAYGGAGAAGGGTCGATCCCATCATAGGCTTCCGCGAGCGGGTCTCGTGTATCCGCGTGTAAGCCRCATCMTGGCGGTYGCACTTACRWGGGGGCACTCGAGATCACGCCTGCGGTCGACGRAAYTGTTTCTGGTGTACWAGGTGGTCCTTCAAAAGTCYAACATGCGATCATCTWATCCAACTTGAAGTAAMAAMSCGTGKCATGCACAGCAGAAGGCAATCGCTCAYCAACCCAGACATCCTTGCTTTCAACAGAGTCATACCCCATTCATTCATATCAACAAGAAACTAAATGGCAATCTCACAACTTTTCCCCGGCGCACAGCGCAACCATTCAGTGACGCGTTCTTCGGATCGTCATACATACATGCATTCATTCATGCAAAGATGAGGCGCAAATTGGCACATACATCCCACAACTCAAGACGTTTTAATTCCCAACCATCGACATGCATCAAAGAGGAGGAGGGAGAGTGGATCAGCACAAAGAGGAAATAGATCGGAGATGAAAACGATGGCATTTCGCCCGAGACCAATTTTTTTGTACAAAGG